TGCGGCTGGGGCACCGGGCGCACCAGGCCCGGCTGCGGCTGGGGCACCGGGCGCACCAGGCCCGGCTGCGGCTGGGGCACCGGGCGCACCAGGCCCGGCTGCGGCTGGGGCACCGGGCGCACCAGGCCCGGCTGCGGCTGGGGCACCGGGCGCACCAGGCCCGGCTGCGGCACGTAGCGCATGGTCTCCTCTGGGGATAAGTCATGTTCAGTGGGCTTGGGGCAGGTCATAGTCACGTCACGGGTGGCAGCGATGGCCCCGGTGCTCAGTAGTTCCTCCACTCGGACCCTCAGGTGGTTACGGCCATCCTGTAATGAATGCAGAATGATTACCAAGATTGTGGTGCAATGGAGTGTCCGTGGCTGCTCAGCCCAGACCCCCCCTGCACAGGCTAGGGTTGCCAATTTTGGTTGGACATATCCCTGGAGGTTGTGTCGCATGACTGTCTTTAATTAAAAAGATTAATCGTCAATTCCTGTAGACTCTAGGACAATCCAGGAGGGTTGGCAAGCTTAGCACAGGCAGTGTGACAGTAGGTAGGGAAGAATCTACAGGCTGCTGCAGTACTGAGTACACTAGCTGGATCTCGTCAATAATGGGACAGTCAAGGGTCCTACATAGTAGGCCATGAACCTCTCCATGTTGATACGTAGGGATTTAGAGGCAGGTGTTCAATGTAGCGGCAGGGATGGGGACACTGGAGCCTCTTGTGCCAACTTACTCACCTGCTTGAGCACATGGCAGCCATTGTAGCCAGCTGAGAAGATCACCTCCCCTTTCTCGCCAGATGCGATCCAGTGGAGGCAGATGGAGCAGTTTGTAACTTCAAAGGGAGTCCCAAACTCATCTGTTGAGAGTGTCACACTCAGACAAACCTTCACCCATGGGTAAGGTTAAGTTAAGGCACTCTAGTTCAGAGACATAGGAAGGCTGCAACATATGAAGCAGGGGCTATGTCTTATTCCATCAGTGGTATCTTTGGTTAGCTGGATTTGGGTTACCAGCCATTATTTGGCAAGTTTCTCTTAGATCCACCAAGGAGAGCAGAAAGGCCCCAAATCCTGGTAGTAGAAGGGCTGTCTTGCAGCGACGCATGGCAACAGCAATATTAGCATCTATTGCACAGTCAGGTGTGAGTCCTAGAGTGGAGAAGTTTCAGGGGGCCAAGCCAGAGTTTGGGAGGCCTTTCTGCATTGGGAGGCATCCCTTCAGAGCATTATCCTAGTCAGGCCCTTGTCTTACAGTCAGAAGAGGCACTGTTGAAATCAGCCAGATAACACCTACTGGCTTCCTCAGTCAGAAACACCTCCTAGGGCTAAGGACAGCAATAAAGCTAGAAAGAGTTATAGTAGACACTGAAAGATGTACAATTAACAGAGGAAGGTAGTCCACATGAAAGGACAGAGTTACCCATGGGAGACAGGGAAAATATCAATAGCTTTTAAGAAACCCTCCAGCATGTTCATTTAAAAGGGAACCCAAGCATAGATGGGGGTGTCCTTAGCTGCTTATTAAGCATACTCCACAGCTACTTACCCACAACTTTGAAGCGGACAGTGCGGTCCTGGCTGGGAAGGACCGGCAGTTGCATCCCATAGTCTCCGCAATCATACTCATATCCACGCTGCAAGACAGAAAAACTGACCCTGCGGAAGTCCCCCTGCCCAAGGGCTGTCCCCAGGGACCAGAGGAGTACTAAGCCCACAAAATACCTACAGCCCAGCCCCATGGTTGAAGGTGTTAAGGAAGAAACCCTGCCCCACAGCCACTTCTCATAGTTAGGGAATCTGTGGGACTGGGGCTTTGTAAGGTGAGCGGAGGGGTGGGACTGGCATGTGAACCAGGTGAGCAGAGAGGCAGCACCTGGGGAGCTGTCTGCTGCTGTTGAGGGGCCGGGTAAAAAGTGCAAAGCTCAGGATGAAAGGAAACGTAACCATTGAATCCCCCAACCAAAAACAAATAAACAACCCCCCCTCACAGTGAATACTACTATTACTCTGGCTTTTGGGATGTCCCCTCTCTGTCCCCCTCTCTTGCCCTGTCTTTCTCTCCTTTTCCTTGCCTGTGACTTTCACTCTCCCCCTTTTCTCTCTCTCACACTGTGGGGTGTCAGTGGGAGGGAAGGGGATCTCCTTCCAGGATTCACTCTCTTCCCAGTGGGTGAGGAGGAGCTAGAAGAAACAGCTATTCATAGGGAATAATTGGAGTCCTGCCCCAAGCTTGGCCTTGTGTCCACCACTTCCAGTCTTCATCTATCCTGACCTGTAACCTCCCTTGTATCACCATAACAGCCTTTCCTGGCCTGTGACCAATTCTGCAGTATATATAGGAATGGTGCAGCACACTAGCCCCAGCTTAGTACAGTGACTTCTGGGGGCAGGTTGATCTGGGTGGACCCAAGGCTGTGGGTCATAGAATCACAGAATCATAGAATATCAGGGTTGGAAGGGACTTCAGGAGATCATCTAGTCCAACCCCCTGTACAAAGCAGGACCAATCCCCAACTAAATCATCCCAGCCAGGGCTTTGCTGTTATGGTCTGAATTTGAATGTGGCTCTGCCACAGATTTTCCATGCCCTTGGGCAAGTCACTTGACTGTTGTTATTATTATTTGTATCAAAGGGGTAGCCGTGTTAGTCTGGATCTGTAAAAGCAGCAAAGAGTCCTGTGGCACCTTATAGATTAACAGACGTATAGGAGCATGAGCTTTCGTGGGTGAATGCCCACTTCTTCGGATGCATGTAGTGGAAATTTCCAGGGGGAGGTACCTGCATCCGAAGAAGTGGGCATTCACCCACGAAAGCTCATGCT